TATACATTTAATTTATATTATATTTATTTTATTTATTTAAATATTATTTGTCCTTCAACCATCTTTATAAATTAAATAAATAAATACATCTATTTATTGAATTTATAAAGATAGTAGTGATATTTCTCCTAAAACAAATCTCCATAATTCTATAAAGTTTAGATAAAATATGGAATAAATTATATAATTTTTTAAGATTAATTTTACTATAAGAATATTATTATTTTTAAATTAATTTTTAGAAATATTTTTAATATTTTAAAAGAATTTAAATAATATGATTAAAAATATTAAATTTTTAATATTATTGTTAACAAAACTACTTACAAATGAAAGTTTTTAAATAAGATATAACAACTCATAAAATAAATTTTCCTTTTCTAAAGAAAATATTTCTTGTTATATATTGTGTAAGTCAAGCACTTTCAAGTGTGTCTAGAATATCATAACTAATATTACAAGAAATACTCCTGTCTAAGCTTTAGAGGACTCCACATCAGTGTTCAAAACCTAAATTATTAATAAATTTAGAAAAAAGATAAAGTTAAAATCTATATAAATTAATAACATTTTTATTCCAATTATCTCTCAATATAAACTTCTATATTTTTGAGCTGTCACGAGCAATCCATCCATCCTAATATTGGCTCCAGGAATTTGGCAACATAATTTTATTTTCTTGTTTTCTCTATGAAAGCCTAATTAAGCTGATATACACGACGAAGAATATTCAAACTAAACTTGACCAATGAAAAGATGAGAATAAACTATAGGCTATATAGTATAGAAATCGCATGGTATTGTTGATTTTTTCCGGCTTGTGAGGGGTTTCTGTCTTGAACAGGTTTTTTAAACACAGAAAATGGCTCCGTTCTGAAGAACTTTTCCGTTTTAGACAGGTTTTCCTGTATTGATAAAGAAAAGTTTGTTCATCATTGTTCTAGATTGTATCAGTATTGGATTAATAATTGAAATAAATAACTGTTGTATTGAATGAATTGTTACAATAATTAGTGCAACAATACATTCGATTAAAATGCAAGATTATATTCTATTGTTACAACAAAAATTGCCATATAACAATTTATGAATATTTATAATGAAATAAATTAAATTAAATCGTATATCGCGTTGTTTCTTAAACAAATTTCCCTCGCGCGTCAATTAGAGCGCATTCATAGTAATTTCACCACCCCTCTCAATTACTATATAAATAATTCTTAACAATGTAATTTAGAATTTTATAATCGCAATTAAATAAATTACAATATTAAAAAATGTTAAAGTAAAACAATTAAATAAATAAATAATTTAGTTTTATGGTTAAACATTTTTTTTTATATTCATAAAAATAACAATTCTTAACATTTAACTTATGTGAGATATGTAACAATATAATTTCTGTAGAAAATTGTGAAAGGACAATGTTGACATTCAAATATAGCTTCTATAATAGGAAGAATAAAAGAAATACGAACTTAATTTTAGTAAAACAATAGAAGAAAACAGTGGCAATGAAGTATTAAAGTTTTGCCATTGTATAAAATGTTCATATAAAGTAATAAAAACACGTGTACCGCACCTAAGAGGTGAAAGAGAAATGTGTAATCCACTAATAGAGAATATATAGATTATGGGCAGGTAGACTCGTGCCAAGTGTTACTCGGATTCAAATAAAGGCGCGACTTCCTTCCCGGGATGCAGTTGGAGGGGTCTTTTTGCGCATGTTTAGTTGTTCGTTCGCTTTGACGCCATCATGTCCAACAAGGTAGTTTGAACCCGATTTGAAGTAAAGGATTTTTTTTCATATTAACGTGTCGTGTATTTGCAGTATACTATGCTATTTAAACGTGTGATATAAGTGCTAAATTAAGTCTCTTTACAGGACCAAGTCAATGATAACCAACCCAGGACACTGTAAGTATCGGCCGTAAATACCACGGCTCGCGCTCTTCCGAAACCATGTGGTTTCTCTTTCGGTTTTCACTTAGACATTTAAAATGACGGTGATGATCCATCTTCTCAGGTACGTTGGAAATTTGGATCCATCGGTGACGGAAGAACTTATCTTAGCACTTTTTGGACAGATAGGACCTGTCAAAGGTTGCAAAATCATCCACGAGGTAAGAGAATGCCTTCGTTTACTCTTTCGTTACGTCATTGCTTACGACACGATATTTGTAATAGACTAGTTAAAGATTCGCGGGAAGATTCTATAAATCGACTCGCCTCGGAATTCATAAATAAACTTCTCCCATTCCGTTATTCTTGCCGTCTCTAGCGACTGAACTTACTCGCTCTTCTAAATTAATCATTTTTTTCTTTTTTTTTATTGTTATATTCAATCATTTTATCGACTTCATATATTTTCGATCAAAATTTTTACTTTGTATATTCGTTTTCAGTAAGCGTATTAGAATTTAAATTGCTTTTATCCTGTTTTTAAATTAAAATAACATTATATATTTTTTAATGCTGTTTCGGAGACTGCAGTATTTTAATTTTATTAAAAAAAAAAATTTAAATGCCGTTTTCAACTCAAAAAATATAAATTTATCTCACTTTAAACCTTAACATAATAATTAGATTTTAATTATATTTAAATATATTTAGTACTTTAAGAAATTTCTAATCAAATATGCTTCTATTTTAAATGCAATCATATATACCATTATTAAATCTCTTTCCATAAAATAGCATTTATAATTTTATTAATATTAAGCAGATTCATTATATAATTTTGAAATTATAAATATAAAAAATTCTTTGTTTTGTTGTATATTTTTCAAGTATTTACTTTATACTAAAATTTTAAATTATTAATTATTTATGAGATCATAAACTGGTCTAAATTTAGGATGCAGTAAAAGCATAAAATTTTATATACCTGAGATATTGAATTATGCATTATATAACCCCATTCTGTATAGGCTAAATGTATATTTTTCCAGAAAGTTAAATTATAAATACTCACACTACATACTAAATTTTGTTGAATATTTAAAAAATTTTGGATTTGTTTCAATTTTTAAAATATTTCTTTATAAAAAAATTTAAAAGTTATTAACACATATTAAAATTTATATTTAATTAATAATTTAACATTACAAATTACAAATATTGGTTTTGATGTTTATATCTTTATATATTATGCAGTTTGAATATGCAATATAATTAATATTTTAGTCTTTTAGCATATCATTTATTTTCTTTTAACAAATATTGTTGGCCCTAAGCACTAAAATATAATTTAGTTAAACATTTAATATTGTTTTTACTATCTAATAAAAAAAATTAATGAATCATATAAAAAAATACTTGTAACTAAATAAAGAGAATTAATGCTAATTACTATTGATTTCAAGATGATATATCTGTGATATGACTATTTAATGATGTCAGTAGAAATAATGGTTTAAATTTCTAGCTAATTAGAATTAAAATTATATCTATTTATATTTATATTACAAAGTTAACATTTTTCCAATATTCATACATACAAAATAGAATTTTTGGAAGTTTTAAACTGCCTCATAAACAATGTTTATTTCTGTGCATAGCATAAAAATATGTTATTGATGTAGTAGTTGAAACATGAAATTTTCATTTGATGATTCATTCCACTTACAGTACATAGTTCAGCATGAATTAAAATATCACATTTATTTTTGCACTTGATGTATATCTTCATTTTCTTAATGTAATGATGTTAAATTAACTAAAGAATATTTGTATGAAGTATTTTAGTAGGACTCTGTCAACGTAATAATTATTCCACATAATTTGTACTTTGAAAATGCTTTTCACAAAATGAATTAGCATTGTGAGAAACTTTTGTGGAGTTTTTTCTAGACAAAATTCTGAGCTATTATTAAATGACTCTGCCTGTTTTTAATTAAATCAAATTGTTTTTGTGGCAAAAACTAATGTATATTCCTATGCTTTTGTTGATTAAACTGAATCATATAACTTTATTTAAAATTTATTATCATTGTATATTATTGTTTATTATGCTATCAAAGACTTTTTATCATCTTAAATTTATATCAAGTGAAATTCAATAACTAAGAATTATTTTCTTACTATTAATAAGATTATTCTCACTAATGAAAATACTTTTTCATTCATCATAGTAAATTCAGAAAAGTTTCCTTTATTATTCATTCTTTTTCTTAAAAAGAAATTTTAACCAAAAAACACATGTTTAGAAACAAATATTTATATTATAAATAAAAAGTTATTTTGGGTGTATAAATATGAAATTAAAATAGTTAATTCTTACATTCTCATATTGATGATTTAATTAGTTTCTGAGAAATTATATATCATGACTAAGTGTTTGTAAATTGAGTAATTGTAAAGCGAACTCATACAGTTTATATGCACTAGAAGTGGAATTTCATTTTGGTTCCATGTTTAGAAATCAACTTACTGTGTTTCTGGAAGTAAATTTTGTATTTTAGAAATATTTATATTGGATTTGTTTATGGAAACAAAGAAACTAAGTGAAATATTAATTAATTTAAAGCATCTAATATTATGAATAAAGTAGTAGAACTCATCTTAAAATTTTCTAAATATATTATAAATGACATTTAAAATTAGAAGAATAGTTTGGATTTGTTATATTTGAAATAATTATATTATTTGTAAATTTGGTGAATCTTTAATGTATCAAAGTTAAGTTTTTTAAGCTTCATAGTGTTCATTTGACTGGTTTTTGGATTATGAAAGGTATTTCATTTAAAGTCTTAGTTTAATAAAAGTCAAGAAATTCTAAAAATTTAATAACTGTCTTACGATGTTATGAAATTAAAAAGTAGCTGATAGTTTTTTTTTTAATTAAATTATTTATAGAAAAATTAATTATAGTTAAAGATTATGTCAATATGTATAGCTGTAAATGAAAGTTGCAAGGATAAATTAAGTTTTCATAAAAAAAAAATTGTAAAATGAAATAGATTGTAAATTAGTTTGTTTTTACAACTTATTTTACAAAATTTCATTGTATTTATTTTAAATCAATATTTTTCAAGATTGATATTTAAGAATAATCATTGAATTATCCAGATCAATTTATGTTTATATGTGATAAGATATATAAAAAATTAGACAAAATGATTTCATGATAAAATATAAATGAAAAAAAAAAAATCATTAAAAAATTATATTTAATTGCAATTAAACATATTGAAAAATAATATAAAAAATAGATGGAAATACTTAAATTTCGTAATTAAGTAATATTAGAAAAAGATAATTTCTTAATTGTGTATTGATAATAGTGATTCTGTTGGCAATGCTGAGAACTTCCGTATTATAAATTTGTTTTATAAATTTATTTATTTACTATTAGTTAAAACATATTTTATTTCATACATTTCTATAGTGTACTTTAAATATTCCTTGTATTGTAGCATTTTAATTTTTGTATATTGATAGGCTACTAACCTAATTACATTATATAAAAGACAAACGTGTAAATGTAAGCGAAATACATATATTTATTCTATATCAATCCTATTACATTATAATTTAGATGCTCTTGTTAATAAACAATGTAATAAAAATTTTTATTTGGTATTTCTTACAAACGAATAATTTATTTATGCTAATAATACACTAAATATAGAAAACTACACTAAATATTAAATATTTATATCACTAATATTTTTGCGTTTAGTTTTTTTCTGTAATTTATATCATGATTAAAGAATTTTATTATTGATTAGATTTATGTTTATACAAATTTAATGGAGTAGATAAAAGTTATTATACAAAAAGGAATTTGGAAGAATAATTTTAAGAAATATTTTAAAAAATAATCAATAAAAAAATTTATTCATGGAATCTTTGATAAATATATTGTAATGTCTTTTAGCTACATATATTAAATTCTTTTCTGAAATTTTTCTTGATGAAAGAAATGAAGCAAATAAGAGAAAATAACACAGTAATCCAAAAGAATTCAGATAATTGACCAGGAAAAATAATTAGGTTTATCAATTAAAATAATGTTTACTTATGATAGTATTGGAACTGTTCTTATTTTGATAATGCCTATATTTAAAAATAATAATGTTATTTGGATAATAATAATATACTTTCATCTAATTAAATAAATTATTATTCAGATTGAAATTAGTTTGTCAAGCAATATTTATATTCTTTTATAGCAATTTGATATCAAAGAAACAGATTATATAGAAGCATCATATTCATTCATTTTGCATATTTGTGCTTTGATATTTGCAGCTATTTTTCATATTTGCAGAATGATTAATTGAAATTGCTTTATAATTTTGGTAATAAAACAACAGATAAAGAGACAAACAAGTTTTAGTCTTAAACATGTTTTGCTGTAATTCATATTGTGCTAATGTGTTTCAATTATTTTAGCATTTACACTTATGAGATAATAAACATTGTGTGGTGTTCGTATGGGGTGAGACAGTAAAATCCGCAGATGAAACATACAGAAAGGAACTTGTGACAACTTCTAGAATATACTCTTCCTTTTATTTCTCTACGAACAAGTTTGGTTTTATAAGGAATCCCAACTGATTTGTAAGAAATTTTTACAATATGAGGTGTATGAAACAAAAAACCTTTTGTTTCACAACAAAACACGATAGTAAAAATCTCCAGGTGCATAACAATTAATCTTCTATAACCGCATAACTAAAACCTAACTTAATCCCATGGGTGTTGTGAGGGGAGCCTGGGTGGGCACAGCCCCCAGTCAACCTGGTGCCCACCCCAGAAAATCACAGCTGAAAAAGTGTTGATTTGCAAAAAGAAATAAAAGATTGAAGCTTGAAAATCCTGTATCCTAAAAAAAAAAAAAAAAAAGTTCAGCGGCTCCCTATGCCCAATGTTATGATTAAAGAAAGTTTCATACTTTATGTGTGTTAAATTATTGTCGATTCTTATGGAATTTTCATTTTAAAGAACAATAATTTGAAATAATTCAATTTTGTGAATTTTGTGTCAGGTTGGCCTCTACTAGGCCCCCCATAACAAAACTCTGGCTAAGCCCATGCTTAATCCTAACTTAAGGCTAACTTAATACTAAGGAAATGACAAGTGAGATAGGACAGCAGGAAGGTAGAAGAAATGAAGG